CTGTTTCTATGGGTGGATCCATCTATGGATCTACATCATATGGATTTTATGTAGAACATTCATCTATGCACCAATGGTACGGTGGAAGGCAGGCAATCGTGACTTCCCCATCGAATCTCACAGTGTAGCGGCTTCAAATTGCTGTCAATACCACTGAGTTGGAAGCAAACAGAGCCTGACAGAGTTCTGCACACACACTAGTCAAATCTCGAGGTTCGAGTCTTCCAAGTGCTTTTTTGCATTTACCAGCCCCTTGGAGTCCCCAGACAGAGAGAGAGAGAGGTCGTCTTGTTTGAAGACGCCCGATCGCGCAGGTCTTCAAAAAGTACGATGTGAACCCTGATTGGGTTGCTCGGAGATTCTACTCGCTGTTAAGTTTTGTACGTTTGTTTGAACCGAACAGGTCAAAGACGCATGCAAGTCCAGACCAATGGACACGTGCGTAGTTCTGATTCTATGACTATCATGTTGTTTTCCGACGATGGGTCGGAGCCGAGCATTAGATTCTGTTTGTCCACTTTATATCAGGATACAAACCTTCGTTGTGGCTCGTTGAGTTGAGGGAATATTTATTATTAATGTTCAGAGTCAACAAGAAGAACGTCTTTTTTCTTCTGCACTGAAGGCAGCCTTCAATAATTAAGATATATTCAGAGTGATCCAACGTGCAACCAGAAAGCCGCTTCCCAACAGATATCATGAATGCAAGATCATGACTATCAACTTATATATATATAATTATATATATAATGTAGTCCCTGCATGGGAGCGAGAGCTAAAACCGTCAACATCCTGTCATTCCAGACTCCATCGTGTACCCATGAAGCTAGCCCCACACCCTTGCCATCCATGAACTAGGATAAAAGCATCTTTACGAACGTGCAAGAACCAGAGATTTCGTGCTTGGTGTTGGTCCAAACCAGGAGGCCGCGCACGTTCTTTTCAGTCCTTTCTTGGGGCGCTCCTACACTATCAGATGGCACTTCAGGGCCCCGGTGTATACCCAGTGCAGCCATGGGAACGTGGACCCAATTCGTGATTGGATGCCTTAACTGCAGGGTGGGATACTCATCACTGGACGGAGAGATCCAGCCGAATCCAGCCCAACGAACCCGGAACGTTCGCGCTACGAAGAACCTCTCATGAAGTTGCCATCAAGAACTCCAAGTTTAACGGACTTCAAGAACCTGTCAAAAGCCCTGTATTATGTTGTGAAGTAAATATAGTTTACACTAATTTACGATCGTAAGCGAACCCACCACCCCTCTTTCTTCGGTGTTCGAACTACCACGCGGCCGAAGCCGATCGCTCGAAGCGAAACGGCGTCCGGTGCTCTCAGAACGCTCCGGCGTCCGAAGTCCTGAAGTGCGGCTTCGTCCCCTCGGATGTGCACAAGATGGAGTTCAAGCACCCGAGGTGCAGTCCGCAGTGCAGTCCCGTGGAGACAGTCAGACTGAGAAGACGGTATTTGGCTTTTTTGGGAGTCGTTTTTGGAGCGGCCTTCTCCAAGCTGCCCACGTGTAGATGGAAGGCATTTAATTAATAAGTAGTGTCATGCGTCATGGAAGGCATTTAATTAATAAGTAGTGTCATGCGTCATGTTTAGAACTCCTGAGAGATATGATGATACGCAGGACAGCTAAAGTTCCATGTGTCCAATCAATTGATACTGATGGAACACAGAGCGTTTCTGCTACTCAAACTAAAACTAATTCCATTAATCGCTGCTGAACTTTGCAAAACTTGTCACTTGTTTCCAGAAGACTCTTGGCATTTCAGCCACGTACAAACAAACTATAAAAACCAATACATTTTTGTATGTATGTATAAGTCAAAATTAAATATATGAACTCATATTGCATGTCTACTTACCCCAAGATCCATTGAGACCCAACTCTGAAGTCCATAGAACCGGTTTGTTTTCCGTCCTCAAAGCAAGCGTTTTGTAAACCGCTTGCTGAGCGCTAGTTGTTAACAATGTTCAATACAATTCATGACACTAAATGTGAAGCCCCACCTTGACAAAGTGCTGCCCCTGCACCGCACCGAAATCTGAAGCGTGGCCGAGCGACAAAAGCACGGTCTTGACTGGGTGCCCTGCTCAGAGATTTGGCAGGGGACCACCACTCTGGGCCCAAAACATGGAGTTCTTAGATTTGCGAAGAAGGTCAATGGGGCACAATATGCATGGCGGCAGGAGATTGTCAATTGGTAGCAGTTCGGCTTGAACACGTGTTGCGTTAGCCAGTTGTGTGAGTCATTCGCATAGTTTTGAAAGATGTACTGCAAAATGCTGTGAAGCTGCGAGTTCGTCTAAAAACCATGCAAAGATACATTCAAACAACAAACCAAAGCAGGAACATTGCCAGGCAAGGTGGCGAAGAGGTTTTACGAATCCATGTCTGGGGGGGTTTCTATTAATCAAGAGTCTACATCATAGAGATCGATCAACACCGCAAGCCAACTTCCAATCGTGGTTCGCGACTCACGCTTGTGAAGGCCCAAATGCCCTGCGGAGCCGCTTGGATGGGTGGATGATGGTGGGGCGGTGCTTGATACATCATGATACATCTGGCTTCTGGGGCTTGGAGGAACTCCGGTCGTTTGGGACCCCGCTTTAGCAGGGGCCTGTTTTTGTTCGGTTCTCCATCACGTCTCGGCGGAAGCAAAACGGTGGAGCCACGGCACATGTTTTATGTGTTTCAGGAGCTGTGTGGCAAAACGGATCCTATTCGATGTCCTTGATACCAAAGGTCCAATGGATGGAGGATTCGGGGGTTGCGGCAGTTGTCTTGGCAGTCGCCGGGCATCGGCTGAGGTCGGTGTGGCTCCACATTATGAAGAAGCATCGCCGCTTGAGCACACATAGAGGAAGGCACGGTGCTCAAGCAGGACGAAGCTTGTGCTTTCTGTCATCGGTAGGACCTGATGGTGTAGCATGGTTTTGGGCATTTCATGACCTGTGGGACCTGTAGGAGCATGGGACATCGGAAAGAAGGAGGAACCCTTCAAACCTTGGACGTGCCACTCAGGAACACCCATGATTTATAACAAACCAACAAAACATTATACATACATGCCCTATCATGTCCTATACAATTGTTGGAATACATTCATGGTCTATAAGATGATCACCAGGTGCTTTCACCGTTGAATAAAAGGATTCTGGTGCTTTGTTCTGACCCATACTCAACCTTGTTTTGGTGTGGACACTCCAAAGAAGATGGGGCTCAAAAAATGGACATTCCGAATCTCCCTTTCAAGCGGGAGGAACATAACATCCATTGAAGATCCTAACCCTTGGAGACTCTCAGATGCCGAAGAACAACCGCTTTTCAGGATCCGGGCTTTTTCGGCGATCGGTCATTGAGGTACAGACACCATCTCCAACTGGACTCTGATTCCACCCACGCCAAATGCGAGCCTCACTGGCCTTTGGAATGTTGGCAAGGACCATGCGTCGCGTTTTGTTGTGCGGACAGTTGGAACTGTTGGAAGGTTCAAGGGATACAAATAAATGATTTGCTGACTAACCGGCAACTAATTAGGGTTTTTGAAACATGCAGGAATAATATCCACTCAAAGCCATGACAGGATTCCATTTCCACAGTCGACACATGTATAATATACACTATATTGTTAAGATTTATTGAGTATACACTTTAAACAATCAGATTGGAATGATTGGACCACTCTGACTCTACCTAGTCAAACTCCACGGAAGGGATCGCTTGTGGCTGGCAGGCTGAATGTCCCTCTGGTGCAGTGAAAGCTTCAGTGTTGGAGAACAACTGCTGTCACTTTGAGCATCTTGGACTCTGAAATCAAACCACAAGCAAAAGTACGACAGGACACCCCCATCCCTAAAACTCGAACAAGAACACTTGTGCAACCATGTGCAACCCCATGTATGGAATATTTATATACTTATATACACTACTTACATTATCTTACATTGGGGTCATCAATAGGGCAAACTGTGCTGATGGTCATTTCTGTTTGACTGGAATCAGATTCTGCTTCAGAGGCCTTTGGTATTGGATGTATGTACAAAAGAACATGTTGGCAGTAGCCACTTCTCACCTCCAGAGTTCAACCATGAAATTCCGTTTCTATTTGGATCGCACCAAAGTGGGGTCGAAGAGCAATCGGAGTGTCGGGCTGTCCCTCGAGCCGCTACCGTGGGTGAACGCATCCGTGGCCGGCCGCATACATGGGGCTCGTGGGGCGCGTCTCCGCAAAGTAGATGGTTGATTAAGGTTAATAGGACCTTAGGGTGTCCATGGGTTTCATCATGAGCGTTTTCTGGCCAACTCCAGGTGCAAAAAGTGAGCCGTGGAAGCTGTTCATGGTTTCTGTACAAAGTCCGCTAGACTAGCTGAAAGATCCTGGCGCGGAAAGACCTCGGCAACATGGCTTGGCCCAATTCAGCAGCCCAGATCGACGTGTTGTCCTGACGGGCTGGGAGAGATAGAGTCAGATAGGGTCACTTTCTGAATTGATCATCATTATCTCAGTTATCATGACCTATATAACTTAATTGCAACCCAATGCCACACCCACCATTCAATCAACCCTCTATCAACTTTTGTGCTGCTTGCAGTGATGAAGCGCATCACATCAGCTTCACTTTCACCGGCTGCCCCATCAAGTGGGGGGAACTCACAGCCTAACGTGGAAGAGGACCTACTGCAAAAAGGGGCGCTACCGGAGGTTATTGCCATAGCTTGGCCGCGTGACATCGAGGAAGATGTGTTGGGCCACTGCTCACTTTTGGGGTCAACATGGCGCCGCTTTGGGAAGGACCTTTTCAATTTGGTCCAAGTTCATCCGGTCCGTTCCGGTCTGACGGGGGAATTCGTTTCAGCATAATATGAATACCGTATATCTGTTCGTTTACAAAGGCCAAGGTTGACACGGCTGACACGGCGGAGCTTGCTGACGCGGAGCTTGCCGCCGGCCGTGACCCATCTGTGTTCGCCATCGAGTCTCCGGCCGAGGGCTGCTTACGACCACCTGGTCACCAGCCATTTGAATGCTGGTGACTTCGAGGAAGCTTTGAAGTGGGCGCCTCAGGGACCTGAAAAAACAGGTGTCCTCCGGCCGTCCTGAAGGCCCACTTCGACTTGTTATGAAGTAATTGTATTAACAAAAACATGGTCCTCCGTCCTCCTTCTGGGGCTTTCGATGTTGTGGCGGATGTGACCATGTTGCGAAGCTCTCTAAGCCTGTTGCCCATGTGGAGCGCAACAAGCGCTCGGCAAGTTGCAGAGCAATTCATTGGAGTTTGGAGACAGCTACAACACATGGAGTCATATTGAATGTTGGGTCTGTCCTATTACCTGTAACCGTCGGTAAACAATCAATGGGATATGATAGACCCAATATTTCATCCTATTTCATCTATTTATCTACCGACCTTCAACGCCTCATGCCATAAGTGTCCCTGTCGTCTGTGTCCAATGCCATAAGTGTCGTCCTTGGTGAACCCTCCGAACAGCAAGTCGACACCACTTCGTCCTGCCAAGCAGGACGCTGTTATCATCGCCCACAGTTCTCTTGAAGACCTGCAAGCGCCTGCTGCGAAGCCCGAATCTCAGTGGACTCTGTGTCATCCGGCACAGTCTGAAAGGTCTGGGGCTTGGAAGATGTTGGAAGGGGGCCAGGGGCTCCTTTCGTGGGCCTTTTGTCATGGGAACCTCACATGGTCATGCAATGACGATCAATGAAGGAGTCTTGCATCTGCCTCTTTGAGCAATGCTGCACGTGGTCTGGGGTTTTAGAATATCTTGGGATCTCACCAGAGATGCTCTTGGTAGGCTTGCTGGAGCAGAAGAAAGACGTGAAAAGTGCCACAAGGCCAGAGGGTATGGCTCTTGTGATTCACAAGACCATTGAGTCCAATTAAGGCTGAAAGAGAATCGGATGCGCACAAAGCGGCTTCCTTTGTCATGGCTTTCCATTTGCTTCTCGTACTACTGAGCTTTATTTGGCAGGCTTACCTTACCCGGAGGCTTACCCTAAGACTGGACACATCACAAACACATTCTGATTCTGATTCATTGCAAAAGCTGACACTTGATACGGTTGAGGTCTCAATCCATGACCATCCACATCTCCTTCAACCATGCACTTTGCTGATGACTTGATGCTTTTTAGAACAACCTGTTGACCCATGGGACGGGTTAACATCGGGGACTCGACCAGGCAGAGGCGAGCCCGGTGTTGCCAGGCTCATGAGCTGTATGCCAGCGATGGGTTTACAGCCCAGCTATCCCATGTACAAAGGCATGGTGGCGGCCGCGGCCGAGGCACCATGGACCATTGATATTTTTCATTCTGCCTCAGACAGCGTGTGTTTCTTTGTTTTGACTTAAGGATAGGTGGCAAAGCCAGATGACGTGGAATCGTATACATGCATGTACGCAATGAAACTACAAATGTATGAGGGTGTAGGATAGACATGAGAACTTGTGGCTGCTTGGGAACACTTACATAGATCAGATGAACCTTTTCTTTGGTAGGATAACCTTTTTTCTGAATGAGGAATAGAGTTGACCAGAGAATTTGACCAAGACTGCATCCTGACCGAACTCGGCCAGGAAGGTAATCTAGACCTGGCAGACCGTTGGTTTCAGCAGCTGTTTGCCCGGCAAGATTCAGACGTTGCTCTTCTGATGAGTACTGGCTGCTAAAGACAACCAGGCCACAACAACTCGCACGGCCCAGCACCGTTTGGCGGGGATGCGCCTGCGGGCGCCTGCGGGCGCCCGGCTGCCTGTCCCGTTTTGCAGGCACTTCCACATACGCATACGCATTTCGCTGGATGACTTCGCCAACATTTCATCAAGGCCATGTGAGTGCCATGTGGTGTGGCCAGGAAAGAGAATGGAATGCAGCCAGAGAGTGGATTGTTTGCCCAAAACTCAGTACTGCACACCTGACCTTCGCCCCACACAGTACCCTGCGGTGCAAGCAGCGCGAGAAAAACTGATGCAGTGTTTGTGGCTGTGGCTGAGGTTTCCTTGATCAAAGGTTGCTGGAAGGCCAGACCACAGCGAAGTCCGCGAGTGATTATCAGTGCAGGTTTACCGGGACTTCTCTCGAGTGAAACCTGAGCCTGGAATGATTCTGGCCACAAAGATTGTCCAGTGAAACCTGAGCTACTCATGTCCATCGTTGTCAATTTCCAATCTGTTCGATTCCCAAGTTGACAACGATGTTTTCGGACGTTTCTTGGCACCATTTGGCACCGAAAGAACCCGCCAACATCTCAGACAGTCCAGAACTGAATATGACTACAGAACTATTCAGAACTATTCTATAATTCTCAATACTTATATTAACCAGACTAGTCTATCCATCCCAGAACCATCTGTCGCACTGTACGTAGGTCTTCCATCTCCTCCATGCTTCTTCGTTGCAAGGCTAGAGATCCCGAACGCGCAGTTCGGTACTTCAATTTGATGCGACGACTTCCGGCCGCTCGGCTCCCGTGCGTTCGGAAGCTTCGCCTCGGAAGACCGGACCAGTCCGCTTGGACCCGGAAGGCGGCGCAAGTCATGTGCAGCTGGAGTTGTCTTCCACCTGACCTGGACATGACGTTCACCTCGTCGTTCCAAGGTGCTCTCCATGTGTTTTTTCGGGTTCTCTTTGGTGTGTGAGCTTGACGCATGAGCAATGTCAAGCCCCCCCGAAGAAACATGCAAGGGCTTAGGCCATAATAAGAAACATGCAAGGGCTTAGGCAAAAGGAAAGGTAACACTGCCTGAAACTGGTGTGGTTGTTAGTTGGATTGGCTTTCATCGAACGAAGCTGAGAGAGGTGTACTGGTAATATGGAAGCCTTTTGGCAGAGATCTCGCTTTGATTTTGTGAAACACCCTCCAACTTGCCCAGTAGACAGGAGGTAGACTCAGACATACTAAGACCATATAAGGAACTTGGATGAACTTTGTAACATTTTGTAACTGTAACTCACAAACAAAAAGGCAACCATGGCTGCTGATCGGCTCCACCTTCCCTGGCCGAAATTCGTTCGCCCTGAGCGCCTCAGGGGGAGGAGGCGACGTTCCCACGAGGCACCTACAGCTGGTTGATCCGCAGCCTCGCGCAGGTGTGGGACCGGGTGGGTTTCGAGGAACGTGTGTGTGTGTGTGTGTCAAACCCTGTTTCCAAGGGTCTAATTTAATTTAAAGCAGGGGACAGAGCTCTCTGATGCTACTCTGTCCAACGAAGCTAGGAATCAGAGAGGGAAGCATCCACTGGCCATGGATGTGTACCTGCTTTAACGGTTGAACAAGCTGTCCAATTGACCTTGTTTGTTTTCATGGTTCTTCATGATACTCCCCCTCAACCTTCCCACCGCGTTCTTGCAACTGAGCCGCGCGTTTTCGTGAGCGTTTCGTTTTCGTGCTTTCTGCAGACTTCAAACCATTTTGTTCAAACATCTACAAGTTTTGCGGACTCTTCACCTTACCGTTCTTCACCTTCCTTCCCAACGTGGCAATTGAGTTAACTGAAAACCAATGTCAGAGTGTGAGCCGCTCAGTCTTCCCACTTGGGTGCTGGGTGTGACCCTCCGAAAGGAGGCGCCGAAACCATTCCGGAATTCACTGGTCCTTCATATTTATAACTGACCCTTTGCTTCTTCACTTTCATAACTGAATTAACGGATTTTTGAGCCGCCGGGCCAAAAAACGGACAATCTCAGCCACCGAATCCAGAGCCGCCGGGCTATAAAACGGTAATCCACCCGCAATGAGGCAGGTTTCCCAACCCCCCCCCCCCAGCCGAGTTCTACTCCCTACCTATTTAGGGCAACATAGGGAAATGGTACTCGACACACTTGTGTGTCGGTGCCTTTCCCTGTGTTGTTCCTGTTCTAGTCTATCCTACCCGGGCGGTCTAAGACTAAAGTCCCGCTCCCTAACTATTGCATTTCATTCATTTCTGCTAAGTAATCAGTAACTCTAGAGTGCTAGGTATTCAGACACACACATGTACACACACATGAACATACAACCCCTCCCTGCCCCCCACTGTCCTTCTTGCGCTTTTCGTCGTTTGTTGGGCTTTCTCTCAGGCTTTTTAGGTTGCTCTTGAGGCTCGTTTCCCTACCCCAGTCAAGGGCTAAGTATTCACTTTTTCTACACCTACCTTTCCTTCTTGCCCTCTTAGCGCTGCTCTTTCTGTCTTTCCTTTCTCTTGTTTCTAAGGCTTTTTAGGTGACTATTGAGGTGTTTCACACGAGCGCCGCGAAGCGGC